CCAGGGGTGCCTTCTAAATGTAAAATAAGCAAGAACATGCTCAGTTGAGTTTGATACTGGGTTGTTCTCTTGTTCATTTCTGTTGTCTATTATTTGTAATCTGTTGTCTAAAGCCTTGCACTCAAGCCTGGAAAGAATAAAAAAAATGGTGAATCTTGTGTGATAAGAGCCCATTGCAAGCGGGAATTTGAACAGATATCCCATTCCACAGAGAAAGGCTGAATAAAAATTGGCTTGCAAAACCCCCTTGAGGTGCTGCTTCTTAATGTGACCTTTAATAATTTGACAAGTTCTTCACCCTCATCCCAATCATCTTATGTCTCTCCTCACTCTGCTTCATTGCCTTCAAACAATCCCAATTATTGCAATCCAAACCTACAGCTATTTTGACAAAGGTTGTCCAGTTGGATTTTTTTTCTCCTCAAATTTTTTGCTTTTTATTTTTTTATATGCATAAATCACATCAACTCAACAGGAATTAACTAGCTCAAGGAGGATTCCCACCAAAGACCTTGCTCTGAGCTAGTTGAATCCTTGTTGAGTTGTCAAAGCTTATGCATAGTTTAACTTTGACAAAGAAGAAAAATTTTGAGGATAAAAAATTATTTTCAGACATGGACAACCATTTCTGGAGTAGCTGCACTAAGGGCCAGTACCATAGGGCACAAAAATTCAAATTTTCAGAATTTATCTTACTCAAATTATTATTCCATCAAAATTGAAAATCACCAGAAGCCAGTAATTAGCACAAAAGTAAAGACTCTCAATTTTAGATCTCTCCACTTTGTGTCAAGTTTTGTGCAGAAGGCAGAAAGAATGCCCATCTTTCAAAATTGAATCCCATGGTACTGGCCCTAAATGAGTGAAACAGTAGATTTTTAATCTGAGCTTTCCCACTGTTATGAAGCTTTCACAAAACTGTAACCATCATAGCTGTGACAGGTTGATCTGGCTAGGGTGAGTCCATCCCTGTGGCTGGGTAGATTGCCAATCTAACTCTATTCTCAGTTGAGTATCCATGTAGTTCACCTTCTGTCCCCCAAATCAACCATGTTGTAAATAGCATTTAAACCCTGAAGCTTAGAAAGAAATTCAACCCACCAGTTCTCCTGCACCTGATCCCCAAGGTGACAGGTCTCTGTGGCATACAACCTTCTGTAGCATGTGTGATTTTCCACCACACAAGCTAGCAGGCCCCTTGTTTTCCCTTTGGTCTTTTGGCCTCAAGGTTTGTTTCTGGGGCTTTCCTTCCTCTTCTTTTTTGGCCCGTCTTGAAGTTTTCACTTAGTTCTTCTCATTCATATTTATATTAATTTCACTTATTTGTAGTATTCATTTCACTTATTTGTAGTATTTATTTCACTTATTTGTAGTATTCATTTCACTTATTTGTAGTATTCATTTCATCTATTTGTAGTATTCATTTCACTTATTTGTAGTATTCATTTCACTTACCTTATTACTAACATCTATTGAATATGCTTGTATCCAGTCATCAATAGCTAGCTAGATATATGATCTGTACTTCTCAAACTCTGTTGATCTCCAGACTTTCAGAAGAGACAAAATAATACCCATCTTTTATTCAAATGATTCCTCTTTCCCTTGAAGATACATTAACATATCAGCTTGGCTGTGAACTCTTTGGATCAGATCAGTTTCATTCTACAAATCAGAGCATCTGGACCCTGGTCCCTTCCAGTAAGCTTCCATCAAGTGGAATCTAATCACCTCAGAGTAATCCATTGCTGACACAGATTTTTGTGTCAAAATTAGAGATTGTTTGTTTGGACCTGTTGGGGGGGTACCTGCCACACTTCAAAACACTCCCTCCCCACCCTCAGACACCACTGATGCTTCCAGAGGGTTCAGTAATGATGAAGGTTTATTACTGGGCCCCCCACTGGTATTTATGGTGGCTGTTGATGTGGAGGGTTTGATCTGAAGTGTGGCAGGTACCCCCCAACAGGTCCGAACAAACGATCTCTAGTCAAAATCACCCTCATGTTATTTTGGGTAAGCATATGTCACTCTTGACAACCAAGAGGTAATCCTCCCAGTTTTTGAGAGTGGGACATTTGATGGCTGAGAGGGATTCCTCTTGGCAGTTGATAGTGGAAGTTTGTTTCTAACCCAAAAATGCTTTCAACTTTTGTTTGAAAAAGATGTAATAAAAAATTGGTGTGATGTTCCCTGCAGCTGTCAAAAATTTTGAACTGAACATAGCTGAACACACATAATTGAACATGAAATATGTACCTGTGTATGCACCTCCTTATTCAAATGTGCCTTTCATGAAAGCTGCAGGTAAGATTCAGAATCTCACAATTTTTCATTTTTTGGCCTCAAAAAGTTTTATTTTTTGCAAGCCCTTTTGGTTTGGCTGTACCTGTTTGGGTTCTGGTGGCCAAAACAGTGAAACAATGTGATGTGATGCAATAAATGGCCATGTATTGGTATCATATCAAAAAAGTGGTGCATTGCATCGGCATTGCATCTAAAAAGTGATGCATTGCATTGGCATTGTACCGGAAAGCAATGAAAACCAATGCCACCAAATTATAGTGCATCACATCACATCGCTTTGCCAATGCAATACTCATGCACTGTATTGAGGAATCCAATGCAAGCAATGCAATGCGGGGCCCCGCATCACTCTCCTTGATGTGATGTGATACAGGCCCAACAATGCAATACCTATGCATGCATTGCATCAGTTACATTGTTGGTGGCCACTTCCAAGTACCCATGGGCCATAACCCTGTCTTTTGAAAACTGTTTTGACAGATTTTACAAAAGATACATAATTAGTAGACATCAAATTTCAAACAAAACTTTTTAAATATCTTTCAAAGAAATTTGCAAAAGCATCTCTCTTAGAGCATCTCCACAGCGGGCCCTATATGCCTCCAATAGGGACCAAAAAAAATGGATACCAACCAAGCCGGTATTTTTTACACCACTAGCGGTGTGGTAATTATTCCTGTGTTTCTACGCCAAAAATATAAAAATTTATTATTATCTCTCTAAATATTAAAGATATGGTAAAAATAACATCAGAAATGAATTTCTCAGGTAAAATTACCCCTAGTCACCCACTACAACTGACCCCATATCTCTCATAGTTTAGAAGTTACACAGATTTCAACCTGTCACGGGATGTCTTTTGGATTCTTTACTCTCAGTATGGCTTGTTTTGAATACTGGATGCATATTGAATATTGAATTCCTTTGTGTTGTATTGAATTCCTTTATTGGCACATAGTGCATATTGAATTCCTTTGTAGGTGCACATGCATTCCTTTGTAGTAGGACCTTGTAGGCTAGCCAAATTCCCTCAAGGCAGTGCTCTCACCAGCCAAATTCCCTCACCTGCATGTACTAGACTAGCTAAAATCCCTCATTGGATCTTCAGGCCAGCTAAAATGCCTCAAAAGCCTGTACCCTGGGGCTAAAATCCCTCACATTTGTCTATATAAGGAGGCCTCTGCCTGCCAGTTGTTCCCTCCATCATCCCACCAGTGGACCAGATCATCTCAACCACCCTTACAGATTATATACAAGTGACAGCCATAACAATACATTATATTGAAATACAATCATAACACTTTCATCATCATAACAAGTGCCAAGTGCCCATAACCTGCCTCACATACCATTACTGGTTGAAGCATAGCGCTCCCAGAGCTCCAAGCCTTGGTTTTAAAGCTTTGAACAACAGCTTCATCAATATAATCATCACTCATTTATAACTTCAGACCTTATACACATCACTCGGAAGCTTCATCTTGAACTATCCTCTATCACGATAAATATAACTGCCAAGCTAAGCTTGGTGGTCTTGTTGTTCTGATAGCATAGAAGGGCAGAGCTTGCAACTCCATCATCCCCTTCTCCATTCAGCAAAAGGGTTTTCATAACCACTTTTGAGTCTTACAGCGGGTGTATTGGCCTTAAAGGTCAGTGAAAGCCAATTGGTTGGAGTTTTGGTGTGCTTGAGGATGTGTAAAACCTTTCAATGTTGCAAGGTTCACGCGGCATAGGGCCAATCAGCAAGGCCCTATTGAGTCTGTATACATACAGCTCAATAGGGACTCTCAACCATCATTCCTATTATACGGCCCCACATAGGGGCCGCGGTGGCTGTGGTTTTGGGCCTTGCGGTCCCTATATGTGGGATAGGGACCTGATATAGGGCCTGCAGTGGAGATGCTCTTATATAAGCTAGTTTTCATCTGGAGCAATCTGCATAAAAACCAGAATTGTGTCAGGTTCAAACCCTTAACAGATTCTTTCAAATTTGTTTCTTTTTTTCACAGAAATTTTGTAAAAGCTTCAAATGTTTAACAAAATCTTTGTATGTAAAACTTGTTGCAGAAGTCTGAGTACCATGGTACATGGACATATCCCTCCGGGGGTTGATAAGCGCAAGCCAACCCCCCTCACGCATGCCAATCTGCAGCAAGGTTGATTGGTGTGCAGGTCCTAAACCCATACTAATATGGGTTTAGGACCAGCGCTATCCCATAGGACCCAGGCATGGGTCCTATGGGATAGCCTAGAGTGTTTGAAAATAAAAATCTTGTCGATCCTTGTAGGACACTGGCCGGTGTCCTACAAGGTTGACAAGGCCCACCTCGCTGGCCAGGAGGATTCCCTCCTGGTCGACACACTGCAAATGTGATTATATCAGATTCCCACATCTGGCATTACATCAGATGAAAAAATCTGATTATACATCAGGCAAAACTGGTATTATATCTATCAGGAGTGATATTGTATCTACCTAAAACCATGTTATATCTATCATAACAGATATTGCATCAGCCCAACCTATTTAATGTCAACATAACTGATTTTATATCAGATTTTTACATCTGATACAAATTTTTAGCCCATGGGCATCAAATCAGATAGAAAACTCTGATATGAACTCATTTATGTTGACATTGAATAGGGTGTTCCAATGTAATATCTTTCATGATAGACACAATATCATTTTATGTAGATACAATATTAATTCTGGTAGATACAATCCCAGTTTTTCCTGATGTAATATCAGAGATTTTTATCTGACATAATGCCAGATGTAGCAAACTGATACAATCATTTTGGCAGTGACAAGGTGGTACAGCCTCGCCATTGCTTCCTTCCATCTTGGCCAACAGTCGGTCCAGACAATCCACCGGTTGGGCTGGGTTTTGCTGTCTGGCGCTGATGATCCCAGCAGCCACGGACGAGCGTCTGAACAAGGGGGTCCAGTCCTCAGAGGCCCGCCAGTCCACACCATCCCTGCCATGGTCAGCAGTCTCCGGTTGATGGGGCTGTTCCTTGGCAATCAGCACCTGTTTGAGTGCAAATCCTGCACCGAGTGAGGACCGGCTGGGCTTGCTAGTTGTCATACATTCTGTGGGACTGTTTCTCAGATTCCGAGGATGTGGTTGGTGGCTGTGGTTGGAGACTGAGAAGTGCGACCCAGGCTGAGGTGACCAAGAAGACTGGCGGGGGCAAGGTTGTACAACCTGGCCGGCCAGGAGGATTCCCTCCTGGTTGACAAGGTTGTACATGAGCCTTGTCGACCAGGAGGATTCCCTCCTGGCCAGCAAGGTGGGCCTCGTCAACCTTGTAGGACACTGGCCGGTGTTCTACAAGGATTGACAAGATTTTTTTTTTCAAACATTCTAGGCTATCCCATAGGACCCATGCCTGGGTCCTATGGGATAGCACTGGTCCTAAACCCATATTAATATGGGTCTAAACCCATATTAATATGGGTCTAAACCCATATTAATATGGGTCTAAACCCATATTAATATGGGTTTAGGACCTGCACGCCAATCAACCTTGCTGCAGATTGGCATGCAGGCCTGCACACCAATCTGCTTTGGCGTGTGGGCCTGCACACCAATCTGCAAGTGGCGTGCAGATTGGTGTGAGCGAGGGGGGTTGGCTTGTGCTTATCAACCCCCTATCCCTCCAACCTCAAAGACTACTAGTACATATGACATCATCCTTCACTAAAACCTTCATTCCTCTACCCAACTGCGCTTTGTCCTTCTTGACCTCACCAAGAACTTGAAAGATCAAAGCTCATTCACTATCTCCAGCGGTGGGCCGCTATGCTTTTGGCCCAAAAAGTGTAGCATAGCGGTGCTTTTTTCATCAAAAGAATGTAGTGCTAGCACTTTTGTAGCAGATTTTTGCTACACTACACTGCACAACAGCACTTTTAGTGGTAAAAGCCACCAAAAACCGCGAAAAAGCACTGTAGCGCAGCGTAGTGTGCCCTTTTTTGCGGCCCACACGCGTAGCGTTAGCAGTGTTGTGGTGGAATTCCACTGCGCTACGCTTAACGCTAACAGGAATTCTGCTGTGTTATGCTACACTAACCGCTATGGTTAGTGTAGCAGCCCACCGTTGCTATCTCTTTTCTATCATATACTCCTGGCTGTCTGAGGATGAATTTCTTTTTCCCAGCCTAGGAAATTCAGGGTGTCATTTCTACAACCCAAACATCTCTATCTTCATCATGTTTATCCAATAAACACTCTTCCTCCATTTGGTGAAACTCATCACCATCTTATTTCCTCATCAAGCTTCATTACCTTGACCTCTTGTATAGTACAAATCACATTATTTCGCTCTCTTGAATTAGCACATCCCTTCCTTTGACATTTCGCTGACTTGACAAAAGTGCTCCCCTTCCATCTCAACCTCTTGTCAATTCTCCTCTTGTCAATTGGTCTTCATAGTGCAGTAGGTTCTCAGACTCAAACTTCACTTCACTCTACTTGCTGGTCCCTGATCAAGACATATTTGACCTTTCTCTTTTCTCTCAGTCTCTTTCTCTTTTCTCTCTTGTCTCATCAGCTTGTTGTTCTTCTGCATCTCCTATTTGTCTGCCTTAAGGCTTGTTGTGATTTCACTTCCGACTAGTGTATTTCTTTCCTTCATGTTACTTATAAAAGAAATACATCCTTAAGTAAGTTCATCAGCAAAACTTGCAAACAAAACTTTCAAAGTTCCCTGTAGTGTACATGTGCCCCCAGGATACGTATTGATTCTGTTGGAAAGGTCAGGTGCGTGTCTGATTTAGACATTGGTAATAGCTGGGATAAATGGATTTGGCGCGACCATTAATCCAGAGATCTTCAAGGTTACTGGCCAGTGCCCTGGTGCTCAACTGTAGTTTGTTTGCAGCCAACCGCATCATTGACTCTGAGGGCCAGTACCATAGGGCAGGAAAATTCATTTTTTTTGGAATTTATCTTACTCAATGAAGCCAATATTTAGTGTAAAAGTGAAGAATTTTGACGTTAGACGCCTCCACGTTTTGTCAAATTTTGTGTAGAAGGCAGAAAAAAAGCCTAATTTTCAAAACTGAACCCCACGGTACTGACACTGATGAGTCTTATGGAGGGGTTGCTTACAACAATCCAATTCGACGATGTTCGCTTGTTTTATTCAACGAACTTCTTGCTGGGAATGTGATCAAGACTTGGACTCGAGATGCTGCACATTATACGACCCTCCCAGCTTCCAGCGGAGTTACCGACCTCATATACTGAGGTGATAATATGCTCGTAGGGTAGTCGCAACGAAGCCAGGCATTCCAATATCCTGGGTCGGTCTCGGTGACTGATGTCATTGATGGGGGAGTGACTATGAATGACATGGGTCAAACTGAACGACCTACGCTCTCCTCCCTGGAGCTGCGGTATTCCCAAAATAGTTGCGCCGTTCCTCAAGCTGAGAAACAGGGGCGTTTTGGCCAAAGGGAGGAGAGTGGTTACTACCTCAACAAGAGGAATCAGTCAAAGGAACCAAAGGGGAAGTTGACATCCTCTCCAGCGCTCCGTTTATTCCTGACTTCTACCTTGCTGGTGTTCTGCTTTGGACGACTCTCTTCTCCTTCTATGCATGACTGCTAGTCCATTTGTTACTCCATCTTGAGATTGACCCTTGGCCTTGGGCAAATCTACGTATTGTACATCACAAAAATCTCTCAGCCCGATTCCTAGTCAACTAGAAGTAGTACATCATCTATTCCGCCCCGCCATCCACTCTTAAAGCTTTCGCATCTATAAACTCCTCTGGGGCCGCATTAGAAACAATTGCCCATTTCACAAGCTCCGTATAACCCAAACAGAGTAACTCTGAGGCGAAGATCCAACTTGCGCACTCTTCGGTTTCCAAACGGGGTTTTCCGGCCTACACCCATACAATTGCCCCGTGTGCCTTCCTACCTATCCTGACCCCATCAATCGGCGTACCATTACACATTCCGGTTTTCGGTCAGCCCCATTCAGACTCAGCACATAGTCAAGCAACCGCTCGGACACTGTGTTCCACTAGTAGTAAGTCCATCTGATGCTTTTTCCGCAATCCATCTGGCGGCTATGGGTCCTTGCAGTCCCGAGAAAGATTCATGGTTGAGTTCCCTAGCTTCTCATTGATATCATCATCAATCTTCACGATAATGCATTCCCTTCCAAAATTTTGATAACAAATTGTATGTTCTGCCCAAGGACATATCATACTTTTTTTTCGCTGACCGCTGATGCCTTGCTCAAGTGCACCAAATTTGTTGCGAAAGGTCACTCAACAAGCTCTGGTCATGAATCTTCGATCGTTCATAGTAAATAGAGCTTTGAAACTATTGATATTTGTGTCGCCTGACTCTGAAGTCTATCAACCGAAGTTTAGGCGAGTTTGCTTATAATGAGCAAATGCCGCCACTGAAGCACATATCAATATCATGCCCCAGTGTCCATCGTTTTCCAGCGCCCTCTATCCCATCTCGTAAGCCCAAATTATTTGGAAAAAAAATGACCGCTATGATGGGGTCCTTGCTTGCCAATGTCTCCCATCGATCAAAAGGCAAAACCAATGTATATCAGCAGATCGCCTTAGCACTCCATCCTTCCTCCCACTCCATTCTCAGACATATATTTTCAATTCTATGAATCTTATCCTACATTTGATGAATGATGAGCTGATCATTTCAAGGTGCTTCAAATCATTCAAATCAACAGGGAAGACGTAGCAACCGTAACAGCGTTTGTCGGCACTACATCACCTCAGTCCTCGGTAGGTCATCCCAATATCTTCTTATGAATTTCTGCCCGGAAAATCAAATAACTGCGTTTCCACAAACTAATTAGTTTTTTTTTTTTTTTCCTGGCCCAGGTGAACACCCTCCACCTTGTGAAAGACTCGAGAAATTGCCGTCCTAGCTAGCACATTATCATCGGCCAGCATATATCTTAGGCTTACCTTTCGTCATCAACTTTAAACCCTCTGAAGCACCAGTATATTTGACAGAGTGTTGACTCGATTCTACTGAAGTCTTGTGGCGATGGTGTCTCGGCTTAAAAATCTGTTTGCCAAATCGAAATCCGGCGAGGCCAAATTTTCCAGGAGGTTGGATGCCATATTCTGCCGCGGGAATCGAACTTCATCATCTCAATCCATATCGTCAAAGAACAAGGAGCTTGAGCGCACGAGCAGTCGAGCAACCATCGATAGCAAGATCAATGTCAATAATCGGCGTCTCCAGATTCGACTTTCCGTCACCCGAACAACGCGATATTCACCGGTCCATTGCTCGCCTTGTAGTCCCCCTGCGGAAGGAACTCGTCTCGAGCAAGCGCTTCCCTTGCTGCCAACTGAGATCCGTAAAGAGTCAGAGACTCGGCGAGCGTCGGACCTGCCGCGGTCTCCATCTCCGATTGCAACTTCTCATGAATCAAGCAGTTCGGAATCACAATCCACCGATTGTCATTACTTCGAGAACGTGAAATCCGAAACTTCGTACGGCTCTTCAGAAATCCTTGAGGCTCAGGAAGAAGCCGTCAGAATCAAGTTTCGGGACGCGTACTTCCCCGCGCCTAGCACCACTTGCACCGAAAAAACCAACTTGAAACTCTCTCGAAATCTGATGGATGCACTATCCAGCCACCAAATCGAGTGGGCGGCGATGATAGAGCTTCAAAAGGCGGACCATTCCGGGATCCTTCGAGGACTTACATCGAGACAAATCCGGTGGCTGGTCCGAGAAGGAAGATGCAAGACTTGGTTGGTCGGAACTGCGGGACCACTGATAGAAGAGGAGAAAGACGAGGTCCAAGACGTTCAAAGCATCGACAGTAGTGATGGTGTCAACCTAACTGAACCAATTTCCGAGGAAGCTGTCGTCCTGTGCGCGAGGAAAGCCATCTCACCAATGGATCAATTACCGGCTGTCCTTGGTGTCAGGAGTACTTGCACCGATTCAAGGATGTAACATAAGCGTTTGGTGGTATTACATTGACGCCCTTGTATCAAGAACCCACACAGGAAACCCTCATGGTGTTGACCTGCTCTTCTTATCAATCTCACTCGCTATATTCACGTCAATTGCGGAGGGGTTGATTGCCCAAGATAGAGCTTTCCAGTCTCCTTCCTTAGATCGAATTATCTTATATTTCTTTGAAGTAATTGCGTAGCTTTGTCATCTCTCTTCTCGCTTCTCATCTCTTCACACTTTTTTTTTTGCTCTCAAGTTGGGTTTCGGTTTTCTACTTCTTGTATACATAGTTCGGTATAAAATTCGAAGTTGAAAGTGAAGGATCCCCTGAGAATGTACATGCATACTTCAAATATGTAGCATACCGATTTCTTTCCTTGCTTTATATGTTCTACTCGTCGTTTGAGGACTGCTTGTCGCCATTGACGAGCGCATAATTATCACTTCGATTTCTTCATTTACCCAATCACAAATTCACAATCTTGATTGGCGAAAATGCTATATGAATTTAGATGTCATTCGAAGTTGTTAAAAATTTCTCCAAATATTGTTAGGCCGAAAAACTTGAAATTGACAATCATCAAGTCCTCATACATCACACATTTTTATACAAATCCTCCTCAGATCTGCCTGCCTCAGTTTCTTAACTCCCCTGGGATTTCCTCTCTCTCTTCGCCTGGCTGGGAGATCCAGTTGATTCAATGATGGGCTTGAAGTCTCGGCGGATTTCGGCGACTGGTTTCGAACTATGCAAGTGGACTGCCCATGGAAATTTTCAATGAGAAGTTCCAGTGATGGAGAATAGCTCTTCATGGTTGGAATTGACATAAGAAGTGGAATTAAGGAAATGTGGTGTAGGTCGGTATCAGTTACAAAAATCCATTAATCCAAATGCACATCTTTCGAGGAATTGAGCTGGGCGCTTTGATCAGATGTTGTTGTGTTTCCTGTAAAGTGGTTCTCCAGCTTATACCGACTAGTGGCCTTTTTTTGTTTTATGCAAATATAAATGCAGATATGAAAGGAAAATTAGAAAAAGCAACGGAAGAGACAGAATTTTCCTCCCGGTTTTCATGAGGAACTGTGTCCTCCAGTAGACAACTAATCAAGTCTTGTTGATGGTGAGTTGTACCAGGAGAACTTTCTTACTTGACCTTGTTATGGCAGGGTTAAGAGTGTGGTGCGCTTTTCTGCGCACCCTCTTCAACTGGAGGATCCCTGCATTACATAGCTCGACTGAACTCGACCACTCGATTCCCATCTCCTTGGACTCAACACCTCGAATTCGCAGGAATCAAACGCGATGGCCAGCTCTACTCGGCGTCCTCAACGGCAACCGAAACGGAAAGGAAAATCAAAGCAGAAATCGAACGAGGGTGATTATGGGCAAGGGAATAGTGAGGAAGACCCATTGGAAGAACTTACCCGTCCTCAGCTCTTGGAAATCAATCGGGTCTTCGATGCAATCGTCTCAGGCAATTCACTCAGACAAAAGCCGACTAATCAACCCCTGCAAGATAAAACAGACATCACTACTCAAGAAGAAATCCAAAACCCGCAGCAGACCTCACCGGATGACCAAGGTGGCGGTTTTATCGTCGAGGATGAAGAAAGATTTGAAGGGGGTGGCTTCCTCATTGAAGATGAATCAAGGCAGGGGGGATTCGAAGCTGGTGGATTTCTCAACGAAGATGCTGGGTCGGATGTTGAAGCTGGTGGATTCCTTCCCGAAGAAACCGAGGCTGAGGTGGAAGCTGGTGGGTTCATGACCGAGGAAACTGCGTTGGATGTGGAACTTGACCAATCGATCGACCACAGCAAACCAAGACCAACTGAAGATCGAGATCGATCCACCTCATCACAGAAAGTTTCGAATTATATTGATATTCGAAGAATTCCAGACGCGCTAAAAATGTTAAACTTACCTCACCGGAATAGTGAAATATTAGAAATCTTCGAGAATGCGGCTTCCTCGGATGAAGGCGAGCAATCTGATCAACAAGCTCGATCGTATGGACGGAAAGAAAAGCTAATAAGTCGGATGAAATTCTCAAAAGTCTGTGCCGTCTTGATGATGACCAATGGGAACAACGATACCTTGGGGACAGATGAGATCGATAGGACTGATCAAGACGATCGAAGAAAGGAGCGGGTTGAGGAAGATGAGGATTACTATATCGACCAGGGTTCTTCAGACCAAGCCTCTTCAGCCTCAGACTATCAACCCGATCCTCCTCAAGATGGCCCTTCTGTCCGTAATCGTATCAGAAGAAGTGGCAACCAAACCCCTCGATCAAGAACCTCCGCCGCCTCTGAATGTGATCCGTCGGATGTAATATCGGCCAAGGCTCGCCGTAAACCTCACCAGGCAAAGCGTAAAAAACGGAAGGCGTCTTCTGAGGTAGAAGCTGACGAAGATGAGGATGAAGTTTCGATGCAGAACTCTGCACTCGAAACTTTTGCCTTATTTCTTGAGCCAACAACCATGAATTCTGATGTCAGGTGAGTTTCTGAGCATGAAATGTTCTACTTAGTTGTTTCAATTTTTAACAAATGTCTTAATTCATTGGTGATCTCAAAAGCAAACGGACCATTGGATTCGAAGAGATTAGAAGGGCTGCAGACCAGTTGAGTACACGTGATGACCCGTCAACTCCAAAGCGCCGATGTACTTAAGCTTGTTTTTTTTAATTACTTCCACAGACTTGGCGAAACGATGCCAGACGAAGAGGTAAGTGGACTCATTGTTCTCGTTGGTCTGTTTTTAATTCTAATTCTGACTAACTGTGCTTCTCTCCTCCTGAGATCTATAGATCTTAGAGATGCTCAACTACGCTTCATATACCAACAATTCTCGGGTTACATTCGACGCATTTGAAAAATTGATGAAAGAGATCAGGACGTCATGAGCTCATGGCCACTGCCAAGTGATGTATAGCTCATGGCCACTGCCAAGTTATGTATATTGGTCGCCAAGATTCCACCGAGACAGTGGGTTATCTGGCTCCCACTCCCATTATATTTTTTCCAATTATGTACAATGTTATGAAACCATGTAACTTGACCAGTTTGAAGATCTAGAGTGATAGATTTAAAATGACAAGCCCAGATCAATCCACGATTAGACTCTCCTCCCAGGCCACCAGGTTGAGCCCCGGAGTCTGTTTGAGAATTAAAGCCTCAAGTGAATATTTACATTCGAATGATTTATGTCTTCTAGTTTCCTCGATCTGGATCAGGTAGGATACACACAAAAAAAAGAAGGAAACACGCGATAAATGTTTAGGCTTGATAAGCAAAAATCAGCATGGTTGACTGACGGTCGAAGGACGAAGGTAGCCAAGGACAATCAATCGGTCGGTGAGACGGGGCAGATAGTTTGATAATGAGTCATCAGTCATCGGGATGGTACAGTCGACTATCAAGCATGATGAATCAGATCTGAGGACGATGCTCGAGCCAGTTTCAGATCTGTCGACGACTCTGTTGGGAGAGAGAGAGAGAGCAGGTCAGCAGTATCAAGTGAGTGGGCAGTCTTGCTTGGGCTCACACTCACACACCTGCTGTCCTTATCTTGAGTTCGAGGTCTGAGTCATCCAATCCCTCGATCGAGCGTAATAAGCCAGGCGTTGGGATGTTGGCCATTGGATTTGACCAAGTCAATTTAAGCTGATCTGGCTTACATAAGTATTTATCTCTGAGTGAGATGGATATGCAATATGCTGATTGACCCCCCTTCACCTTGTGACCCCATCGAAGACTTCTTTCCAGAATTGAAAAAAAAAAAAAAAATCCAAAACTTTAAAAACGGTCAACAGACAACCAACCAACCAAACAGACAAACAAGATGACCATCCCACTCTCAACCAACCAAAACAACGAAAACCAATCCGAGAAACTAAAGCGGATCTCAAGCCGACTCAGCTCATTACCTTCTATCGCACTACCCACCGACCACCCTCGTCCAATCAACCAGTCCATCAACCAGAAAGTCGTACAAGCCTCGATCGACTCTCAGCTCAATCAGAAGACCTCACTGGCCATCTCAAGGCTATCACTATTGGATACCGACCTAATCGATCGACCCAGTCCATTCCATCTCCTACTCACCAGTTTCTTGATCTTACTCTATCGTTATACGTCCGAGACTGATATCCTGATCGCCACCTCAAGTCCATCTGCCGATCATCCAGACCCACTCCTACTCAGAGTCTCACTCGGCCCAGATCAATCATTCTCAAGCTTACTCAAATCTCTCG